GTGGACAGAACTGGAATTTATTGTTACATGCTCTTTACAGTTAATAACTGTTATATTCGGAAAAGCTTGCAATGGACTTGGGTAAATATTAGTTTTAATCCCCGTCTTAGGCACGGCTATTGTTCCCATCTTTATTTTCGACGCTATCAATGTGACTTCATAAATTGCCCTTTTGGCGAATAATCGATGGTTACGTCACTGTTGTTCATGACGTCACATATTTGAGCAAATACCTTAGTTATATCACGGCATGTCAGCTTGACATGGGAGGAAAGTTGGAAGTGATGCAGGGCTTGCGGTGTTACGATTGGTTGCATGGTTGGTTGGTTTAACCAGGGAGACTATATAACGTTGTAGATTATCCCTGGTTTAACGCCGCACAGCAGTACTCCATCTATATGGCGGCGGTCTGTAAATAATCGAGTCTGGACCAGACAATCCAGTGATCAGCAGCATGCGCATCGATCTACGCAATTGGGAACCGATGACACGTGTCAACCTGACCACCCGATCCCGTTATAATTAGTCTCCTCTTACGACAAGCATGAATTGCTGAAGGTAAATTCTAACCTTGACCATCACGGGTCTGTGGTGTTATAACTTCAGTGAAACCAGAGACCATATAATAGAGGGTATCTGGTGAAACTCATGAGTTTGGAAGGCAATTTTAAACCTATTCCAAGGGCGAGGTTGGACTTTACTCTAAGGGGTACTGTGGACCTATTCTGCCATATCAGGTTTATGTGACCCAGAGGTAAACACAGATTTAAATGATAAACATATAACAAATTTGTTAAGAGGTAAACAAACAGAGACAAAATGGTAAATTCACTTGATGCTGTGTCTTTCTGGTTTTGAATTTGTTTTATATGGGCATTAAAATATTTCAAAATTTGTTTAGTTTGTGGATTTCCCCAAAGAACCACCAATTACCTAAGGGTCTATATTGGACGTTCAAAGAGAGAAAATGGAACTGTTTGCGGTCTCAGAGACAAATGTTTGTGTATTGTGCGGTTCCAACAATCGCACTATGTCAAGGTCACCAAACGAGAGGTACAGCTTGTTCTGTTTGACCTGATCAAGTGAATACTAATGAATTGCATGACCGTGTCACAGCTGGTTGGGTCTATTATTGTGAAGGGGTGCACCTTTGTCAGTTGATTGTCAACATGTCAAACAGCCGAGACACAGGTCGCCGTTTCACATCTCAGTGTCGATAAATCGTCAGCAATATCCCAACTTTCTTTAAAAATGAAGCTACAAACATATTGCAGTTGAACATGAAATAGAAAAAGTGATATTTGAACTGGTTGTAGATGCATGCATGTTTTGCACGAACGCAACATTAGGAACATTCTTTGCTCCCCTATTTAATGAAGTTAACTCGATCTGCCGTTTGTGCCATTTGACCTCCCGGGTCATGCATATGTAGAGTAGCTCAGGTCAAGCTGAACGAGCTGTAACGCCGTTGTCTTTTAATCAAACACCTCAAAAACTAATTGGATAATGGTGATTTTTTGCGTGTTTTTTTTTGTTTATTTGCCCTACCTTGGTCCCAGAAAGGAAAAAAAATACATGTATGAACAATCATTACTGTAGAAATCCGAATACGAACAAAATGAACCAGTATTTTCAATTTAGGAAAGTAGCAATATTTTGCAAAATAACGTCTTATTTTAAGCAATGCCCAAACGATAAACAACAACGCATGACTGTAACATTTTATTGGTTAAATGCATTCACAGACATATAGTTTATTCGTGCAACCAAGCGATATGTAAACATTACCATTTTGTGTATCATGCATGTATTTAACATAAGTTGTACATAATAATGATGTATACATGTACCTCTAATGCCGCAGAACGAGGCCGGAACGTAAATTAATCATGGACAAACGGACTGCGCAGGTACGTGAGTGAGTTGGGATTTACGCCGCTTTTAGCAATATTCCAGCAATATCACGGAGGGGGACACAAGAAATGGGCTTCACACATTGTACCCATGTGGGGAATCGAACCCGGGTCTTCGGCGTGATGAGCGAACGCTTCTACCACTAGGCTACCCCACCACCCCGCATGTACGTGTAAAACAGTCTCGGAGTGGGTGAGCGGTTTTGGTTCTACGCCGTTTTTAGCAATAATCCAGCAATTTTACGGAGGGCTTTACATATTGTACCGATGTGGGGACTCAAACCCAGTACTTCGGCGGGACGAGCGAACGTATTAACCATTGGGCTGCCTCACTGCTCTTGGTCGTGTTGCACTTGAAATACATTTTCTCTCCTTTTCCTAGAATACGGTTGGGTATGAAACTAGTTACTCTAAATTTAAAATGGTTAGTAAAACCATGTCTAGCTAGCCCGGCTGGTTTGTACTGTTAATATTTCTTTCACATGGGGACTCAAATCTGGTCCAGACTCGATAATTTACAGACCACCGTCATATAACTGGAATATTGCAGAAAATAGGACCAAATACAAACATACAAACAAACGTTTGGTAAGGCTTCACAACTTATGGGGCGGTGGGGTAGCCTAGTGGTTAAAGCGTTCGCTCGTCACGCCGAAAACTCGGGTTCGATTCCCTACATGGGTACAATTTGTGAAGCCCATTCCTGGTGTCCCCGTCCGTGATACTGCTGGACAACTGCTAAAAGCGGCGTAAAGCATTCGATCGTCACGCCAAAGACTCGGGTTCGATTCCCCACAAGGGTACAATGTGTGAAGCCCATTTAGAGTGTCCAACAATGTGATATTGCTGGAATACTAAAAGCGGCGTAAAACTAAACCCACTAATGAACACTTTTTCACATGGGGACTTGTCCCAAAGAAATGAAATTACCTTTCGAAAAGGAAAACGCGCGACCGTATTCACTGTTTGGTGTTGCATAAATTCTAAATTGTAAATGAAACTTTCAGTTTCTATTTTGTGATTACAAGAATCGAACATGCTACTTGGTAACCCCAAGTTACGAAGTTTGTGAACGTCTTTCGCGCCAACAGCTTAATCAGAGTTACCTCCCTTGTACACACGTCCGCGTCATGGCTGCGATAACGAAGTGTTTGAGTTCTGTTAAAGGCAAGGTAGTACTTATCACAGGTAATGACAATTATCATATACATGTTGCCGTCTAAAGATATCCATTACAGACTATGACTACGGGCGGCTTTTAGGCGCATTTACGCCCCAAGTCGCATTCAGCTCATCTCATGTGACCCACTGTGTTGCCCCTGTATAGTGTTATGTTAAGTCATCGCTGTGCCGGAGTATGGTCGTATGGTCGTCACTATTTACGGAATAAGCCGAATGATCGCGAATGCTCAAAGTCGCCGACAAAGTTCATTCTTGACCAACTCGTGTTATTCCGGGACAAACCGAATCTTGGAGTGTACGGAAAGGGGCAAGTGGTGACGAATGGAATGCGACAAAGTTTTGGCGAGGTTGTATCAAAAGGGATATCGGAAACTAAAATGAAAAGGGTGGAAAATATTTGACACTTGTCCTTTTGATGATATGGGAGGAAAAAATTAAACAAAATAATAAGTTCGAAAGTAATTTGACAAACACGACGTGCACGTGCGACTATTGCTATGATAATTAGCACTTGAAGATATTCTTGTTTACAACCACAAACAACAAATGGTTGATAGTCAGCTGTGGTGTAACAATTCTTTTATAACCACAGTAGACAAAAGGGTGATATACAAGTATCTTCTTGTATATATGTCCAGCGTCATTCTTGAGGGGTCATGCAAACATATAATAAACGTAATACTATCCAAAAGCGTCGCATTTTCAACTTTTAAAAACTTGTCAACTTATTAAGTCGACGTATCACTGATTTATGTTTAAAGGTAGTATATCACCATGGAAATATATTGCACTACAGAACAAGACATAAAACTGGGAAATAGACCTCAAGTTAAGCCACCGTACTGGGGGATCATGGGGACTTACTATAATTCTTCTGCCTGCTGCCTTTCTACATCATTAACTAGGACTGGCTATCGATATAGATATTAGAGATCGATAATCGTTAATTAAATATTGATCGATTATCGATAAATATCGGAAACGTACCTTTGAGCATAAACGCAAAAACTGTCTGAAAGAAATGAATATATTACACACCTCTCGTGTTGGTGACATGTTTTTGCATGGATTATTAACAAAACAGCGTCCTGAACATAATTTAGAAGCAGACCATGAACCAAGTACCGTATTTGTATGTTGTGTGAGAAAATTAAAAGCAATTTTTCTGTCACAAAAGTCAATGTACGATATTATCGATAACTCACTTTTCATATCGATAATCACCAATAATCTTTCCTATCAACGATATCCCGATTATCGATCGTTTAAGCCAGCCCTAGGATTTACATCATTCCTTTGACTGCTGGCGATTGTTGGCAAGCTTAGACTACGAATAAAGTCTACAGATATACCTCTTACAACTGTGTCATAGTAAAACCTTGGCCCCCGATCTATGCCTTTGTCAGCATTTTGCCGTTGTGTCGAAACTTGGTTAACTCGAAGTATTTACGTAGGTCCTTTCAATTTCGCTACAACGATGTTTGACAATATTGGAACACATATATATCCTTTTATATAGTACTAGGGTAGGGTCTATATACCTATGTCTTTATGACGCTGTTTGTAAGCGTGACACGCCCCTGTGCTTTTGGGGACAGGGGCGGTCGGGGTAGCCTAGTGGTTAAAGCGTTCGCTAGCCACGCTGAAGTCCCGGGTTCGATTCCCCAATGTGTGCAATGCGTGAAGCCCATTTCTTGTGTCCCCTGTCGTGATGTTGCTGGAATATTGCTAAAAGCGGCGTTAAACCAAACTCACTCACTCACTCACGCGTGGGGACAGTTCAAGGCAAGGTCACAAGACAATGTATAATAATGATTTTCCTTTGGAAGTATATCTCTTAGTACGTAAGGGGTGATAAATATGTGTATGTATGACGTAAGACAAAGTATGTTCTGTTTTTCACAGGAGCGAGTTCTGGTATTGGTGCGGGGACAGCATTACTTCTGGCAGACTACGGAGCTAGGTTGTCTATCACGGGGCGTAACCATGACAACCTACAGAAAGTAGCCAGTCAGTGCTACGAACGAGGCCTTGGTAAAGACGATGTTAGTGATCTTTTTATTATATATACTGTTAGTGATGTTAGTGATATTTATTATATATACTGTTAGTGATGTTAGTGATATTTATTATATATACTGTTAGTAATGTTAGTGATATTTATTATATATACTGTTAGTAATGTTAGTGATATTTATTATATATACTGTTAGTGATATTTATTATATATACTGTTAGTGATATTTATTATATATTGATGAAATGTTTGTTTGTTGTTTAACGCCGCAAGTAATAGCCCATCTGTGTGACGTCAGTTTGTAAATAAAAGACCGGACGACCCTGTGATTTACATATTAATGAGCATCGATATGGGATACCATGACACAAACCAACGCCAAACAGGAACCTATTATGTAACATTGCATTGTTTTTCACTGTGCCTTGTTTGAAAGAAAGCTCACCACTCACTCACTCACTCACTGGAACCCTAGTAAGTAGTGTATAATGGGCTTACAGACTGCAGTTCAGAGTGAGTGAGTGAGTATGGTTTTCACCGACTTTACAATATTCCAGCAATATCACGCTGGGGACACCAGATATGGGCTTCACACATTGTACCCATGTGGAGAATCGAACCCGGGTCTTCTCTGTGACGAGCGAACGCATTATCCACTGGGCTACCCCACCGTCACCCTGCAGTCCAGGGCCTAGATTTTCAAAGCTCTCTTAGCGCTAAGATAGTCCTAAGTTAATGTTTATGTATGGCACTTACGACTATCTTAGCGCTACGAGAACTTCGAAAATCTAGGCCCTGAGAAATAAAAGATTAACACATACACGATATATATATCAACCAAGTCATTGAATCTGACCATCCGATCTAGTTTGCAGACTCTTACGACAAACATGCGTTGTTGAAGACCAGGGCCTAGATTTTCGAAGCTCTCTTAGCGCTTAGATGGTCGTAAGTGCCATGAATTAACATAGACTTACGACTATCTTAGCTCTAAGAGATCTTCGAAAATCTAGGCCCAGTTCTAACCCGGCTTTTCATGTGATTGTTAAACTATGTTATTAAGTTGTATTTTTGTATTTAAGGTTGTGACCACCATATGTGACCTGACCAAAGATGGAAGTAATGAGCTCCTGGTGGACGGAACTCTGAAGCACTTCGGACAGCTGGACTGTCTGGTAAATATACACATGATATACATGTATGTGATTAATATGTATCGGTGCTTACACTGTCCGGCGAGTTTGTTCCGATTAACAAACTTGTGCAGTTTTGATGAACATAAAGAATTTTCAGGATTTCGTCTCCTTTTAATCTTTGTTTCGGGGACTGTTCCGTACTTATCATTAGTTTTACCTGATCATGGGACCGAAACAAGCCCCGAAACGTTGTAGCACAGAATAAAAGAAGATGAAGTCCTGAAAATCCCTTATGTTCATCAAATAGCGTCTTCTAAAGTGCCAATCAAGCACCTGTGCAGTGTTGCATTGTAATATTCTTTTACGGATGGTCGCGTATAGAACAACGTTTAACATGCTCGACATATTTAGCACAAATCACCTGACATGTGTTTTCTGTTTCTACTTGACATGGCATTTCATTTTCGGAACGGAACGCCTCGACGGTCTAGTAAGTGAGTTTAGTTTTACGCCGCAATCAGCAAGAGTCCAGCTGTATGGCAGTGGTCTTTAAATATGAATCTGGATCAGAAAATCCAGTGATTAACAGCGTTGATCTACGCAATTGGGATACGATGACGTGAGCCTAACCACCGATTCCGAACCTCTTACGACAAGCATGGGTTACTGAAGATCACGTCTAACCTGGATCTTCTCAGGTCCGATGGTCTGGTGAATAGATCGTCGGCGTGGAGAGCGGATGGTCGTTGGTTCGAACCTCGGTCGCGTCATACCAAACTATACTGAGTCAAAAAAGAAACTTCACATTCTTTCTTCAGGGCACTATAAAAGAACAAGAGATGGTAAGATGGTTAAATTGTTATTATTTCATTGCTGAGATCTGTGTTATGTACTCGATACAATGACAGTGCCATAATCAGTTCCATTAGGCTACACCGCCGTTCCAAAACATGGGTATACAGAATGTCAAGTCACAAGAATAAAAATGCGAACTTTCTCAGTTCAATATCGTGTATGGCCGCCCCGCGCATTCACCACTGCCAAACACCGTCTCCTCATCGACTGCCTGATGCTTGTGAACACGTGGTTGGGGATTCTGCGCCATTGCTCTTGCAAGGCAGCGCCAAGTTCCTCCATATTCGGAGGTTGGTTCCTAAGACCACGAAGCCTTCTCCCAAGTGCATCCCAAAGTGCTCTATTGGATTAAGGTCAGGGGACCTCGATGGCCAGTCCATGACGTTGATTCCAGCATTTTGAAGGAAATTTCGTGTCAACATCGCGGTATGCGGCCGAGCATTATCATGCTGGAACTGTAGACCTGGGCCATGAGCCGCCATGAAAGGAACGAGATCAGGGGTGAGCACCTGGTCGCGGTAAGCAGGAGCTGTGAGGTTTCCACGGATGACCAGAAGTCGGGAACGGTTGTTCCCACAGAAAGCACCCCACACCATGCAACTTCCGCCCCCGAATCTGTCGACTTCCTGTACACAACATTGGGCATACCGTTCACGACGTCGTCTCCAGACTCTATGCCTGCCGTCCGCGAATCTGAGGGTAAACCTGGATTCATCGCTAAAGACGACTCGATTCCAGTCTCTCTGGGTCCATCGGAGGTGACGTTGGGCCCACAGCAGACGTTGACGTTGATGAAACGGCGTCAATATTGGCCCATGATATGGACGTCGAGAATGGAGATTGGCAGCCCGCAACCGATTTCGAATGGTCTGTGAGGACAGTCGACTCTAAACATCTCAGCCCTGGTTCGTGTAGCCGGCAGAAATCTGTCACGTAGGTGACGTAGGACGATTTGACGGTCTTCTGCTCGTGACGTCACACGTGGACGACCCGACCTTGGGCGATCAGAAGTGGTGCCAGTTTGTTGTAGACGACCTCGCAAGTCATACACAGTACGACGGCTGCATCCCATTGCTCTCTCGACGTCAATAACTGATCTTCCCGCTTGCAACATGCCAACGGCACGTTCACGTTGCACATTGGACAATCGTGGCATTTCAAGTACCGTTAGAACAGTGGTTTAAAAGTGTTTTTTCAATTCTTGAGGCCAATGCAAACACGTGCATATGAAGAAAGCTTCGATGCGAAGATCACGTGATCGACTGCACGTGCAAAACCTGATTTGGCACTAACATCATTTGCACGACGAATGGATGGGTTTGAGTGGGTTTTGCTAACGTTTTTCTAGAGTCGAAAGATAGGGATCCCATTTCGGATACATAGATGTTTCATCAGAGAAAAATTATTCATTATTTTTCAAATTACATTTTGTGAAGTTTCTTTTTTGACTCAGTATAGTTAAAAGACTTGTTATCCTTTAGCTCGGTATTAAAGGGACAAAACAAACGCACACGTACGCGCACACACACGTGAATGCACGTCGCTATATAAGTGAACAAATCATGAACGCGTCCTTTATCCAAATTTTCTTCATGAAGTTTATTAGAGCGCGCGTTTCTCTGCTTTACAGGAAGCTGGCTTATAGATAGAATGTCCCTTGGCCACGTTGAACAAACAGACAGTCATACAGACATACATACAAATAACTCTAAACGTACAAGGCCGGTGTGCTAGGCTGGTGGTTAAAGCCCCGGGATCGATTCCCCACATGGGTACAAAGTGCGAAGCCCATTTCTAGTGTCTCCCTCCGTGATATTGCTAAAGGAGGCTTAAAACTAAACACACTTTCCACTTTAATCATTCTAAGAAACGTAGAATGTCTTACTTTGGGGCTTTAGTCCCATCCTGGATGCGAACCCACTCTTTCAGAGTCTAACACACTCAGACATCGAGGCTTTCACGAAATGCACTGTGTATTCATATCATACAAGTGAAGCAGCAGTTCCTTGAAAACGTGTTAAGACCTTGTGGACATACCCCTAAAAATAATCTTTGAATGGAACGATAGGCTTGTATGTTTATCTTGACCTACGTTGTAGGTAAACAATGCCGGTGGCGCTCAATATGGAGACACCATTGACGTTCCTCTTCCAGTCTTTGACGACGTCATGAGAACCAACATCAGAGCACCGTTCTATCTGTGTCAGCTTGCGGTGCCTCATTTGAAGAAAACTAAAGGTAAGCGGTGAGGTAAATAACACTGATATAGTTTCAGAGAACACTCAATTGTGTTCATTGGTAAGAGACAATACGAGTGTCCTTTCGTAGAGTTGCCTCCCTTGCGTGTTCCAGGAACCTATGCTGATAGTTTCGAGTAGCATCAGTCTCATGGTGACCAAGAAGCCCCTGTAACTGATCCTCCACTGCTTTGGGCAGAGATAATGCAGGTGGCCAGCAGAGTTGCATCGCTTAGGTGTTTCAGAAACATATGATCGCAGGTTCGCGTGTTGTGTGACATATGCCATGGTTATTGCATCAAATTCATGGTGACCAGGATGCCGTTGTACAAAACAACCTTAGCGTTAACACTGTCGTAACTCTATGTTAAGGTATGGAAATTGCGGTCATCATAGCGCTAAGATCGCTTTGTACAGCGACACCATGAAACAGTTGCCACCCTCCATTTCATGACAACATTGAAACCTTTTACTTTTCTTAGTCTAAAGACACACTCTCTGGATTATATAAATACTTACACCACTCTGAACCGTGACTGTATATTTCAGGGTCAATCGTCAATGTATCCAGCATCTCCGCACAGATTGCAGTGAGTAGTTGCCCATCATCCCAAAAATATACGCCAGAAATTCTCTTTTTAATCTTTATACTAATAGACAGAGCGGCAGGATCTGAGATCTTATCCCGTTGCTATTCTGCCTACGGACCAATAATGTCTTCTGTCCCTTTACTGAGGGTGTGGTGGCACCGCCTCCGTGGTGTAGTGGTTAGAGCGTCCGCCCGGAGAGCGGAAGGTCGCGGGTTCGATCCCCGACCGCGTTATACAAAAGACGTTAAAATATGGTACTTGTTGGTCCCTGCCTGGCGCTCGGCATTAATGGGTACAACAAGGACTGGTTGGCTCGGAGTCAGTATAATGTGTCTGAGTGGGGTATTCATGCTTCACTGCGTCATGGTATCTCAGTGAGCTAGCACTATAAAACCAGCTTAAGTCTGGGCTGGTACAAGCAGCCGCACATACACATACACACGCATGCACGTCGTCATATGAGCGAAATATTCTCAAGCACGACGTTAAATCCAATTTCACCTCACCTCACCTTAGGGTGTGGTCACTACAACTAGTGTACAGTACTAGAACCGTGCACTCAAAAGAACTTTAACTCACTCATCTGATGGTAGATGAGGAGGGGTGGTGGGCAGACAAGTGGCTAAAGCGTAAGACGTATTTCAGCCATATCGTGACAAAAGTTCTAACTTTATGATAAATACATATGAATTATAAATCCCTGTCAACGAAGGACAGCAAAACAACTAGATTATCAAATATTTGTTAAAACTAGCTCAAGGAAAATTAAAATAATACGGTGAGAATTAATGATACGAGATTACTTTGGCAACAGATCGCTAACCACACTAGGGACGTGAGGGCTTAAAATACGTCTGCTTCCTCCACGGTTCCCTGGCAGGATTTATACAATCCCTTCTGCTGCCAGCAAGTGTACGTAATGTTAGCCATTTTTCTAAAATGTACAAATATCCTACGATTGAAAACGGTGGTAGATATGGATATTCTGTGATTGAAGTGGGCTTACATACTGTGAGATGAAAGTGACCATCCTCTTGGCTCCCACGGGCAGCTTGGGTTGAGAATAAATGGATAGCACACGGATCATTAAGTCGGGGAAGAAAGAAACCGCATTTGAACAAATACTAGTATTTGGATAGTATAATAAATTTACATATATGCAACAGCTATTTGACTATTTGAGAGATACGAACTCATTCATAGTTGGTTGTATAATCAATTTCCAAATCTGTATCAGTTTCAGGGATCCACGCCATATCGCCTTGCCAAAGCAGGTCTAGATCACATGACGAGGATTTTCGCAGCAGGTAATGGTGATTGTGTGTTTGATTATGATTGAGTTCCTTTTTGGGAAAAGAGATGATTTTATTAGTATATCCATGTGGCGAAACATTACCAGTGTCATATATACTGGCCACATAAAGAAACTGTGCACACAGAAAATATAAAGATAGGTAGACAGCGTCTTTATGCATAAATAAAGGTGTGAACATAGCAAGTACTGGAGACAATCAAACGCTCATGCAGGTGCCAGGCGACGTGACGTCATTGATGGTGGCCTATGGACTTGCAATGTGTTACTGCACGTGCAGCCTGTGCAGCTGCACACAACATGTGAAACTCAGAAATTGCTGTCACTGTCGAAAGCTTGATCTTTGGTCATTCAAACGTTCACAAATTCACATGAGAAGTCACATGCACATCATGCCAAGATTAACATGTGCTCAACGTCATGAAGCCATTGGAATGGTTCGAGCAGGCATGAGCCAACAACAGGTGGCAGCACATTTCCAATGCCATCGTAACACGATATCTGCATTGGTCAGGCGTTAGGTAAACAGTAATGACGTCGCCGACCACCCACGTTCTGGGCGTCCCCGAGTAACGACGCCAAGACAGGACAGATTCGGGTGACTGATATCAGACACAGGTTCCAGACGGCAGTGACCACGTCCCAAACCATTCCCCAGGCCTTCATTTGGAAAATTTGGTAGCCTCTATGCGTCGTCGATGCACTGCTGTGCTTCACGCGCATGATGGTCATACCCGTTATTGAGTTTGTTACTTCAACGTGTGACCCCCGACTCAATTTTGAACTTCTGACGTCATCGTGACGGATATTGTTCATGTTCTTTTGACATGTTGTTGAGGCCCGATACTTCAGCTAATAAAGTGTCTACATCATGTCGTCTTTTCTGTGTTGTATTGCAATTCTGAAAGAAATTTTCAGTGTGCACATTTTCTTTATGTGGCTAGTATATCATATGTGCACATCACTTTTGTCTTGCAACCATGGTTTCTGTATTTCGTCATCTGTGACGTCATTAAATAATTGAACGTGACGTCAATGAAGATGGCCGTCACACTTGTACCGTTTTTACTGCTCAAATGTACTAAAATGAATCTAAAATTACAAAATCGCTCGGGCAATACAAAATCTCACACTTGTTTCGTGTAAGTAGTATGACACACTTGCTCATGTAATAATCTCTATATATGCCACGATAAATATAAATCATGTATTCATATGATATAAACTATGCATAATCTAGTGCTATGAACTAACAGGTTTGTGTAACACATATCAATTTGGAGAGAGCTGTATTGTGTGTCGGGAGAATGTAACAAAATATCAACTTGGGGCGAAAAATAATACAAAATTAAAAATGATTTATTTAAGTCGAATCTGGATGCGATAGACAGGGTGAGGTTTCCCCAATCCTGTCTTTTTGTATTCATATAATATTAGGTACACTCGTACTTAGACATTTGCACCCGTGAAGATCCGGGTTAGAATATTGATCTTCAGCAACCCATGCTTGTCGTAAGAGGTGACTAACGGGATCGGGTGGTCAGGCTCGCTGACTTGGTTCACACATGCCAACATATTCCAGTTGTGTAGATCGATACTTATGCTGTTGATCACTGGATTATTTACAGACCGCCGCCATATAGCTGGAATATTGCCGAGGGCGGCGTAAAACTAAAACTGACAGTTACAATCCAATTATGGTGGTATGTAGCGGGAAACGTTTTTGATTCCCGTCGTCATTTTTCACCAATGTCAAGTAAAGTTTCCGGAACAGAGTTTTATGGTCATGCGTCCCTGGTAGTATCGTTGCAGTGGCACGAATGTTAACACTATAATGTTGTAGATGCCAGAGTGCAAAATTGACCCTACTAGAAGCGCTCGTAATATCGCCATCATACCAATATCTTCGCATTCACAAGGAGTGTGTTGCATGTGATAAAGCGATATTAATTGTTTTATTGCAAACATGTTCATGTTCACAAGGTATTACTCCTCCCTGTGTGTCCCGAATGTACTTATGATTTTTTCTCACTTTTATCAAAACCGTAACCAAGCAACAACGATTGATCTAATTTTTAGAGTTGGGGCCCTATGGAGTCCGCGTCAATGCAGTCAGGTAGGTATATGCGTATGGTTTTACGCCGCTTTTAGCAATATTCGACTAATGTCACGACAGTGGACACCATGCAGAAATGCGCTTCACACATTGTACCCATGTGGGGAATCGAACCCGGGCATTCTGCGTGACGAGCGAACGCTTTAACCACTAGACTACCCCACCGCCCCAGTTATTGGTATGAAGAGACGGAATGATGCAGCCTGGGCAAGATGAAATTGACACTAAGAACGAAATTTGAATTGAATTGTATTTTACAACAATACATGTGCATCCTGCCTTAACTATCTTCATCACATGTACACAGTCTGTATACATTGTTGACAATCAACCAGAATGTTGAGGACACATCGTACATGGATGCTCATGCTGTTGATCATTGGATTCGCTGGTCCAGGTCCGGCCTACAATTGATCTTCAGTAACCCATGCTTGTCGTAAGAGGCGACTAACGGGATCGCAGGTTCAGGCTCGCTGACTGGGTTAACACATGTCATCGTTTCCCAATTGCGTAGATTGATGTTCATGCTGTTGATCACTGGATTTTCTGGTCCAGACTCCATTATTTACAGACCGCCACCATATCGCTGGAATATTGCTGTGTGGCTTAAAACAACAACCCAACCCAACTGTATAGGATGTAATTGGAAGACATGGATTTTCACAGTAAAATATAAGCAAACGTTGTGATTGCTTCTACAGTTATTCTTCGTCAAGTCAACTATTTCATAACGCTTCTTTAATAGGTTCCAGTGGATATTCCCCATATCAGGGGCGGATACAGTTACCTCCCTTATCTATGGAATCTGTTAGTTGCCTATTCTTGCACCTTGAATCTCATGCAAAACAGACATGACGAGAATGTTTTTTTCCTATTTTTCAGCCCTGGTGTTATTTTGTCGGAGTTTCAAACACGTGCTGGCATGGCATCTGACAAGTACACCCCGGTGAGATAGCGATTTTTTCCCCTGTTGACGCATACATCCCCTGTTGACGCATACACGTACAGTGCTTTGTTTGTGTGTTTGTTTGTTTGTCGTTTAACGCCACACTCGGTAATATTCTCAAATATACTCCATCGGCAGTCGCCAAATGATAGAGTCTGTACCAGACAATACATTCAGCATTGTTTGAAATGTTAAAATTTCGTGAATAATACCAAAGCAGGAATTTAATGCATGGCATAGTCATTCTGAAACCAATAGTTGTTGTGAACTGATTCTTATAACTTCTGAACGTTTTTCAGTTCCTGGAAAGACAAGCGGCCCTTCAGCCACTAAGGGGCGCGGGCACACCGGAAGATGTGGCCAAGGTTATAAAATTCCTATTGTCCGATGATGCCAGCTTCGTAACAGGGCAGATAATCGCTGTTGATGGGGGAAGGCTGGTGCAGCCCGCTAAATAAACAACGAGGTCACGTCAATCAGTTGTGTTCCCGAGTGTTACGAATGAGTGAGTGAGTTACGTTTTACGCCGCTTTGTGCAGTATATCAGTTAAACTCTGGCGTGTAAGATTTAAAGAGATGCAGTTTTAGTCGTTTGCTGGTTATAAGGAACTGACCACGAACCTTAAGCAGAGTGTTGATAAGATGTTTCAACACTATTACAGAAATCCATATGTCATATGTCTTTGGGTCATTATGGCAAATAAAGTTCATTTGTGGCTTGGCTGTAAAAACAAATTGTCTTACGTTTGTTATGAACTCGCTCCATAGTATCTTGGTTTGATTGAACTACAGTACAGGCTACTGTAGCGCAAATAGGGTTGCGCAACAAGAGGAAATAACCAGTCTTACTATATGCTCTTTTTTGCTCTGTTGCGCAGCCCTATTTGCGCTACAGTTTGCCTGCTATTGAACTGGTTGTTGTTTGACGTCACACACAGCAATTGTCCAGCAATATGATGGCAGTCTGTAAATAATCGAGTCTGGACCAGACACACCAGTGATCAACATCATGAGCATCGAAAGTAACTTGGAGAAATCACTTTAAAAAGAACACTTTGCATCTTTTTTATTTTAATCTCCGAACATGTGTTTGAGAAAACAGGTATTACGTATGTAGAGTGTCTCATTTCAAATTGCCTAGATTATTCCTTAAAGATACGAGTTGATCGATACCAGTCAGAGTACCTGGATAAAAACTATCCAGGGTTCCGTTGTACGGTGTGATCTTAGCGCTAAGGTGGTCGTAACTCACATATCTTAACACGGACTTACGACTGCCGTAGCGCTAAGGTGGTCGTAACTCACATATCCTCAAACGGACTTACGACTGCCGTAGCGCTAAGGTGGTCGTAACTCACATATCCTAACACGGACTTACGACTGCTGTAGCGCTAAGGTGGTCGTAACTCACATATCTTAACACGGACTTACGACTGCCGTAGCGCTAAGGTGGTCGTAACTCACATATCCTCAAACGGACTCACGACTGCTGTAGCGCCAAGGTGGTCGTAACACACATATCCTAACACGGACTTACGACTACCGTAGCGCTAAGGTGGTCGTAACTCACATATCCTAACACGTCGTAACTCACATATCCTAACACGGACTTACGACTGCTGTAGCGCTAAGGTGGTCGTAACTCACATATCTTAACACGGACTTACGACTGCCGTAGCGCTAAGGTGGTCGTAACTCACATATCCTAACACGGACTTACGACTGCCGTAGCGCTAAGGTGGTCGTAACTCACATATCTTAACACGGACTTACGACTGCCTATAGCGCTAAGGTGGTCGTAACTCACATATCCTCAAACGGACTTACGACTGCCGTAGCGCTAAGGTGGTCGTAACACACATATCCTAACACAGGATTGCCGAGACAAATGGGCCCGGACTGTCAAAATTTACATAAACCTCACATATGCCTCATTAAATGTTTTTTTCCATCAGGGGCATAGAATTATATTTACCCACATACTACTTATTGCGTGACTTTTCATCGTATTTTAAACAAACAAATCCGTTAAAATATAGATCTAATGTTGTATTTGATTACACCCAATCTTGGTCGTATGTTGTTTTTTGTTCAGTTTGGCCCGTGCTGCTTAAATTAATTTGAACATACCTGATGTATCATGAATTGTGTTTGGATCTTTGAACTAGCACGATATCGGTCCGACTTGACCCGGGCTGTCAAAAGCTACTTAAACGACTTAGATGTATCTTGAATTGTTTATATGTATTGAATAAGAGTGGGTATTGCAGAGAATTTTCATATTGCGATATATAGAAAACACATATTGTGATTAGTATTGCAATACATTGCAAGAAGTTTTTAGAAAAATAAAATATAATACATGTACTTTTAATCGAGTTAATGCTTGATTTATCAAGCAAAAACAAAACAAAATCACCATGTTTGATTAAGCTTTTATAAAACCTTTTAATCCTGACAAAATAAAAATGTAAATAAGATTTAGCACAAATGAAACACGGCAATATCCGAAGATTTCCGAGTGTTACGAAGTTTTCCGAATGCATGTCAAAATACCGGTTTTCGATCAGTGTATCGCAATACGTATCGTTTTCATGTCTGAACCGGTAAATACCGGTAAACCGCTTATATTGCGTAGCCCTAGTATTGAATAGTATTATATCTACTTAAATACTACTTCGTAATGCTACAGGGGCGGTGGGGTAGCCTAGTGGTTAAAGCCGAAGACCCGGGTTCGAATCCCCACATGGGTACAATGTGTGAAGCCCATTTCTGGTGTCCCCCGCCGTGATGTTGCTGGAATATTGCTAAAAGCGGCGTAAAACCAAACTCAGTCAGTCAGTCAGTCGTAATGTTACAATACATGACATGTACAGATAATTGGCCCGTTAAAGTAAAGCCCTCGTCCCTCTACATTTCTATCATTGTAAAAATGTGGACATCGAAATGTTTAAATGTTTTGTAAAATAAGCCGGAAATATGCGTTATTTCTAAACCCATTATCTTCCAGGTCTTCCTGTCATTCCGAGAAAACAAGTATATTAACTGAAGTGAGTTTAGCGTGATGATTATTATTGAACCAGGAACAATATTACACTTCACGTATGGAACAAGAATTATGACTTTTAATGAATAATATATAAAGTATGCGGTTATGATATCCGTTCTAAGGCATGATACCTGTAATCTGATCGTGGTTGCTGTGAATACTGATGAATTGGTGCGATCTGCCAAAATCAATTCACACAAGATTTCAGAGGTAAAGTTAATTTCGAATAATTTCAGTAAACATATAATAACCGTAGCTAAAAAAAAGAATGTATATCTGGACCAGACAACCCAGTGATCAACAACGTGAGCATCGATCTACGCATTTGGGATACGATGACATGTGTCTACCAAGTCAGCGAGCCTGACCACCCGATCCCGTTAGTCCCCTCTTACGACAAGCATGGGCCACTAAAGGCCCTTTTAACCCGGATCTTCACGAGTATCTAGAAAGAACAAATACCAATTCTAACCCAAATTGTTTCAGGTTCGGATCCCATTAAATGGTAGGGCAGGACTTACTTACAATTTTCTGGAATTATCATTTTCAGTGATCTTTTCTGTATGTTCTTCGCAAGCTTTCGTATTGCACTTGATGAAATCGGTTTCAGAAGATATTCGAGTTTGATAAGTACCTGGCGTTGGATTTTCTTATCTGCAAAATGTCCAAACCTACGATTAGTTCGTTTGTTTGTTGTTTGGGGCGGTGGGGTAGCCTAGTGGTTAAAGCGTTCGCTCGTCACGCCGAAGACCCGGGTTCGATTCCCATTTCTGGTGTCCCCTGTCGTGATATTGCTGGAATATTGCTAAAAGTCGGCGTAAAACTCACTCACTCACTCAATTGTTTGTTGTTTAACGCCGCACTCAGCAATATTTCAGCTATATGGCAGCGGTCTGTAAATAATCGAATCTGGACCAGACAATCCAGTTATCAACACCATGAGCATCGATCTACCTATTTTGGATACGATGACATGTGTCAACCAAGCCAGCGAGCCTGACCACCCGATCCCGTTAGTCGCCTCTTACGACAAGCATGGGTTACTGAAGATGAATTCTAACCCGGATCTTCACGGGTCTTACATTCATCATCATAGCACAAGTAATAGTACATACAGTCCGTTTGAGACAAAATGATACCGATGAATTTCAATCTAACACAAAAGCAAATAGACATAAAAGAATCAAACCAACGCGGACTGCAATAAAAACAACAGACCAACTCTAGAAAATATGGCATAATTTGTCACAAAAATAAAAAAGTTGTTTAAGAAACTGTCATCATTTATCTGTGCGTTGTCCCGGTTTGTTACAAGGGCGCTTAGGCAACTAAAGGAACAGCACGAAAAGCGACATGCACGTGCGTTAACGGGTTCTGAACAAATTTTTGAGCTGGCGAGATGACACGTACCCCAGCTGCACAGGCAGTGCACTGTATGTACTTGCATACCTGGGTCACCCCCTGTCATTTTCATCCTTGAAGAAATCATAGACTTTGTTAATAATAGACTTTCATTTTCTCTCACTTTGTCAATCAGCAGCAATCACACGTCTCTGACGTCACTAATGCACGTGCATCTCGCTTTTCGCGCCGTTCCTTTAGTTGCCAATGCGCCCTTGCAACAATCTGGGCAAACGCACAAATAAATGATGACAGTTTCTTAAACAAGTTTTTTTCCTTTTTGACAAAAAATATGAAATTGTTTTCTAGAGTTGGTCTGTTGTTTTTATTGCACTCCGCGTTGGTTTGATTCTTTTATGTCTATTTGTTTTTGTGTTAGATTGCAATTCATCGGTATCATTTTGTCTCAAACGGACTGTAGTGGTAAATGCTCGAGACTTTATGACTTTAGGCAACGAACAACCCTTTACATTCAAACTGTTTCATGTTCGGATGCTCTTGGTAGGGCAAGACATGCTTATTCAATATTCTGGTGTCATCACTGATTTTTAGGGATCAATCCATATAGGGGCGATTGGGACGGTGTGGCAGCCTACTACTACTACTACTACTACTACTACTACTACTACTACTTTTAAACCTCGGCTTCTATACCCAGGGACCCGTGAAGATCCGGGGTAGAATAGGTCTTCAGCAACCCATTCTTGTCATAAAAGGCGACTATGCTTGTCGTAAAAGGCGACTAACGGGATCGGGTGGTCAGGCTCGCTGACTTGTTTGACACGTGTCATCGGTTCCCAATTGCGCAGATCCATGCTCATGCTGTAGATCACTGGACCTGCTCTCCAGGCTGCAAAAAGTCCAAAATGCAGCTTCCAGATTGATCTGTAGAACAAACAAGCACAGCCACATCTCCCCAATCCTCATGCGTCTGCACTGGTTACCACTCCCAGCTAGGATAGAATACAAAATACTTAGCATGACTTAATGATGTCTTAACAACGCAGCTCCACCCTATCTTTCTAGTCTTGTAAGGGAGTATGTTCCAACCAGGACTCTGAGATCAGCCAATCAGTCGCTGCTCATCATCCCAAATGCACGTCTGAAGACATATGGACACCGACGTTTTTCCTACTTGTCAGCTATCCTCTGGAACAATCTGCACGTGTCTCTCAAAGAATCCCCCTCAATAGCCAGCTTCCAGTCTAACTTAAAAACTTTCCTGTTCAAGAAGCACTATGACATCTAAATGAACTCCTATTGTAAATATGTATATAGTTAGCGCCATGAGAGCAACCACTTGGTGATTGGATATAGGGCGCTATACAAATGGACTTATTACTTATTATTATTATTATTATTATTGTCTGGTCCAGACTCGAGTATTTACAGACCGCTGCCATATAGCTGGAATATTGCTGAGTGCGGCGTAAAACTAAACTCACTCACTCACTCAATACCCAGGGGACGGTGTGATAGCCTCGTAGTTAAAGCGTTCGCTCGTCACGCCGAAGACACGGGTTCGATTCCTCACATGGGTACAATTTGTGAAGCCCATTCCTGGTGTCTCCCGTTGTGATATTGCTGGTATATTGCTAAAAGCGGCTTAAATCTACACTCATTCACCCACTCACTCACTTCATATATGTTCACCGCTATGTTTCGTCCTGCACCCGATGGAATCGTTTTCCGTGGATAATCGAGACTGGTTAACGTTAATCTCTGGCGTTGGGTTTAATTATTTATGACATCTACAAACTGTAGAATCGTTTACCTAAAATACACGTCCGCGTTCCATTTGTGCGCGCTTGTATAACACAAGCAAGAAAAGCAAATAGACGCATTCGTAGGTCGACCAGTACATAGCCTCCTCTCTTCATGAATGTCCACGTTCAGGGCTAAATAGCTACACAAGTTGGCCCTTCTAAGGGGTATTTATCAAAAGCGGCGTTTTGTTTGAGACTGCGAGTGGAATCCTCGGGCAGTGTCGATACATACAGGTGAGGACGACAGTCAGGTATCTGGTCAGCTGCACACGTCAGAACAGGTAGGTCACTCAGGTATATAAATCATAGCTTGTGTTTGTAATATGATCTACTGTTTGATTCAGTTCATTGATTCAAAACATGCATGTTCCGAAACCGAATGACAGTCTATGACTATATATTTAGTCTGTATTTTAATTGTGTTTCTGATTCAACAGGACTAAAGCATGGCATCCCTAGAGAATAAAGTTATCATAATCACAGGTGAGATATTCATTCTAAAGTGTCCAGGTAACTAAGAATGTACTTACGTAACACTGTCCTGTGCGTCAGGATTCATCAATGTTATTGGCATCTTTCTTTTTTCTTTCTTATTATATAATGCATCGATTACTTTATGCGTGGTATTGGTCTTTTCTTTCCCTTGCTGTATTGCATACAATACTATAAACTGCGTTAAAATGAAAGTAGGCCAGCGGTACCCTTATATAAGACACTGACCTAGTTTGAATTGCACTTTAGAGTTGCCTCCCCTTGATAAGACATCACGATGTATATAGTTCAATAATCGCTCGCTTTGCGTGAAGGTCGACACTGTCATGTGGCCCTAATAGTTTATATTTTAGCAGAAAAACGGCGGTGATTTCCTCCCAAACCTAAAATACTTGTGAAGTAACTCAGCTGGAATGTTGATTGAAGCAGTTTTATCAAATGCACCCAATCTATGTGTAAGAAAATGAACTACTGTTAAGGTTCATTGTGATTGGAGATGTGTAAGAGTTCACAACAATATGTATGGTGAGGTAATTACGTCAGTGAATATACATCGTTCGCCATGAGTGCCTTTAAATATTGGAATTATCAACCAGGTCTTATTTAATCGGTATTCGCCGAACCTTTTATGAGGCAAATACCGATTTAATGGGCAATGTCTTTCTTTCACTTACATAATGGAACTAATGTAAATATTAATGAAGTTTTCTTTCTCTTATATAATGACAATGGCTCTATTGTAAATGTTCGTGGTTTTCTTTCTCTTATATAATGACAATGACGCTATTGTAAATGTTCGTGGTATTTTATTTCTCTTATATAATGACAATGACGCTATTGTAAATGTTCGTGGTGTTTTTCTTTCTCTTATATAATGACAATGATGCTATTGTAAATGTTCGTGGTTTTTCTTTCTCTTATATAATGACAATGGCTCTATTGTAAATGTTCGTGGTCATATATTTCTCTTATATAATGACAATGACGCTATTGTAAATGTTCGTGGTTTTCTTTCTCTTATATAATGACAATGATGCTATTGTAAATGTTCGTGGTTTTTCTTTCTCTTATATAATGACAATGACGCTATTGTAAATGTTCGTGGTGTTTTCTTTCTCTTATATATAATGACAATGGCGCTATTGTAAATGTTCGTGGTTTTCTTTCTCTTATATAATGACAATGACGCTATTGTAAATGTTGGTGGTTTTTCTTTCTCTTATATAATGACAATGACTCTATTGTAAATGTTCGTGGTGTTTTCTTTCTCTTATATAATGACAATGACGCTATTGTAAATGTTCGTGGTGTTTTCTTTCTCTTATATAATGACAATGACGCTATTGTAAATGTTCGTGGTTTTTTCTTTCTCTTATATAATGACAATGACTCTATTGTAAATGTTCGTGGTGTTTTCTTTCTCTTATATAATGACAATGACGCTATTGTAAATGTTCGTGGTGTTTTCTTTCTCTTATATAATGACAATGACGCTATTGTAAATGTTCGTGGTTTTTCTTTCTCTTATATAATGACAATGACGCTATTGTAAATGTTCGTGGTTTTTCTTTCTCTTATATAATGACAATGACGCTATTGTAAATGTTCGTGGTTTTTTTCTCTTATATAATGACAATTCTATTGTAAATGTTCGTGGTATTTTCTCTTATATAATGACAATGACGCTATTGTAAATGTTCGTGGTTTTCTTTCTCTTATATAATGACAATGACGCTATTGTAAATGTTCGTGGTTTTTCTTTCTCTTATATAATGACAATGACACGCTATTGTTTTCGTGGTTTTTCTCTTATATAATGACAATGACGCTATTGTAAATGTTCGTGGTTTTCTTTCTCTTATATAATGACAATGACGCCATTGTAAATGTTCGTGGTTTTCTTTCTCTTATATAATGACAATGATGCTCTGTTCGTGGTTTTTCTTTCTCTTATATAATGACATATTGTAAATTCGTGGTTTATATTTCTCTTATATAATGACAATGCTCGCTATTGTAAATGTTCGTGGTCTTTCTCTTATATAATGACAATGACGCTATTGTAAATGTTCGTGGTTTTTCTTTCTCTTATATAATGACAATAACTATTGTAAATGTTCGTGGTTTATTTCTCTTATATAATGACAATGACGCTATTGTAAATGTTAGTGGTTTTTCTTTCTCTTATATAATGACAATGACGCTATTGTAAATGTTCGTGGTTTTTTTCTCTTATATAATGACAATGGCTGCTATTGTAAATGTTCGTGGTTTTCTTTCTCTTTATATAATGACAATGATGTTCTATTGTAAATGTTCGTGTTTTTCTTTCTCTTATATAATGACAATGATCGCTATTGTAAATGTTCGTGGACGCCAAGTTTTCTTTCTCTTATATAATGACAATGGCGCTATTGTAAATGTTCGTGGTATTTTTTCTTTCTCTTATATAATGACAATGATGCTATTGTAAATGTTCGTGGTTTTTCTTTCTCTTATATAATGACAATGACGCTATTGTAAATGTTCGTGGTGTTTTTTTCTCTTATATAATGATCGTTCAATGACAATCCATATTAATGTTCTTATATAATGACAATGGCTCTATTGTAATGGGTAATGTCTTTCTTTCACTTATATATAATGACAATATGTAAAACGAGTTTTCTTTCCTGTATATAATGCCAAACTATTGTAAATGTTAGTGGTGTTCTATTGTTTTCTTCTTTCTCTTATATAATGACAATGACGCTATTGTAAATGTTCGTGGTTTTTCTTTCTCTTATATAATGACAATAACTATTGTAAATGTTCGTGGTATTCATATATTTCTCTATATAAATGACAATGATATAATGACTTAATAATAACCATTGTAAATGTTCGTGGGTTTTCTTTCTCTTATATAATGACAATGACCTCTATTGTAAATGTTTGTGGTGTTTTTTTTCTCTTATATAATGACAATGGTTTTTCGCTATTGTATAAATGTTCGTGGTGGTTTTTCTTTCTCTTATATGACAATTCTCTTATAAAATGACAATGACTGACGCTATTGTAAATGTTCGTGGCATTTGTAAATTTCTCTTATATAATGACAATAGCTCTATTGTAAATGTTCGTGGTGTTTTATTTCTCATATTTATAATGACAATTTTAAATGTTCATGGTGTTTTGTTTCTCCTTCAAAGTGGAACCTCCATTATAAATATTAATGTGTATATTACCTTTCTCTTGCTAAATGGTACCACTTCGACTGTGAGCATTCATTGATTTGTCTTCACATGCAACAATCGTACTGGTAGTAGTGACGTAAATATTCGTGTTACGATGTTCTTGCATAATAGTGCTGTTCTATGTGTTGTTCTATGTTGGATGCAGGAACCAGCTCTGGTATTGGTGCCCAGACCGCCCTCTATCTGTCCCAGTACAAGCCCAGACTGGTTCTGGTGGCTCGGCGCCAAGAGCTGCTGGAGAAGGTGGCGGCACAATGTAAGGACAAGGGACTTCCCCAGGACAAGGTATGCACGAGTATAGTAGATAGATAACATTAGATCTTTAAGTGGCATTTAGAAGTGATACACATAAGCAGTGTGCGAAACAGCCACTGACCCGGTAGCCCGTAGTCTGTCTCACAATCCCTGAACCACATTATTTTACCCTACTGCCAAGCAGTCCCTGCAATGCTAAAGCACTAAATGAAGCAAGTCTAGATTTCCCCAGGTTCAGGCCTGACTCTCCCAACTCACTGGGGCTCCTTTTTAATTTAAATGGGTTTATTTGTTACTATCAAAATTATATTTATTCAGGGACTAAGCGTTAGTCTAGGTAGCCCGTGGCTAGTGAAAATCCAGTCGGGCCAGTAAATATCCACAGTCACTTTCCCGACTGGCTAGTGAATTTTCATGGGGCCATTTTGTAAATGTATCACTCTCTCTGACTTGTTAGGTTAAAATACACTTTTAAATCATGCAAGATCATGGCCTGATAAAAATGTTCATCATATTAGCATCTTAATGATGAAACCCGTGTCATGCCGACAATATCTTATTCTCATTTATTTTTGTAATCTTTTGCTTAGTTTCTTCATTCAAATTTCGCTCTAGTGAATTATTTTGTGTAAAAGTAACTTTCAGGCATAGCCAGCTCGACTGGCTAGCACAATTTGGAAACTATTTCGCACACTGCACATAAGTAAGACAGTTTTATGGATGTAAAACTGATTTTAATGATAATTAACTTCTTTATTGCAATGGAGTGTGGCGTTTCGGTGTAGGTACTAACACTGTTATCACCGCTTGATAACGGTGTTAGTACCTTCACCCAAACGTCGCACTCATTGCAATAAAGAAGTTGACTATCCATAGAACTTAGTTTTCCTCCATCTTCACAACTTCTAAAATGCCTCTCAAAGAAACTTCTCGGAATGTCTGCTTGGGTATATTAGTTGAGATGAAATGCGGTGAGTGAGTGAGTGTGGTTTTAGGCCATAGGAGGTTCGATGTCATGGTATCTCAAATGCGCAGATCGATCCTCATCTTGTAAATCACTGGAATACCTGGATTTGTTACAGACGTTAAACAACGGAACGAGTTGATTTTTTAACTGCAATCTTTATTCAGTACTTAAAAGGCCACAGGCCTGTAGTACATTTAAAGTTTACATGAGTAGTTAGAATTCATGTACAAATTCTTTTCTATAACAATCCTTTTCCTTAGGCTCATAGCAAAATAGATATACATTGCCAGATGCTGTAACACATCCTCGATAATCTCCCAGGTATACGTTACGATCACTCTCCACTATACCCTGGATGCATCCACGGCGGCAGGGGCGATGATTTTATTACCTCCCGTGGCTGGCTCCGCATTCTCACAGTAGCCAATCAGCTACAAATGTAAGCCGCCGTTACAACCGAGCTTGCCAGTGTCAACAAAGATTGCGGTCTCAGTTGCAAAGGTTTGTTCGCAGTGCCACTCAGATTTTTGGGAAATAATAAAGACAAATTCACAGATCTGAAACTTTAAAAGAATATATGAAAGAACTCCTTCTACTTCTTCTTAGAGTACCTCTGCATCAATTGTGTTGCCAAGTTTAAACGGTTAGATAATTTAAGACGCGAAAGTGAGTTGTGATTGGTTCGCTCAACTTCCCAACGTAGGCACCTGACTGGATAAAAAGCCAGCAAAGGGATGTAATAAAATCATCGCCCCAAGCCGTCGATGCATCCAGGGTATAGTGGAGAGTGATCGTAACGTATACCCTGGAGATTATCGAGGATGGCTGTAATAATGATGTGGTAGTATCTGTTAATAGTGAAATTAATTTTCTTACACTTAGATGCATATTATAGTATGGCTTTAAATATTACGTTCGTAGAGTCGTATAAACAGGACAGATTAGAAGGAAATGTAGTTGATCCTCAACAGTATTCATGTTACATAATTGACATATTTGAACTTATATAGAGCATGTATGGCTGATTTTATTAGTGCGAACTAATGCAGGTTTCATAGTGTCACCCTAATGTGATACCATTCCGGCTTTCAACCTGTGTACCCAACGGGGCGGCTAATGGTTAAAGCGTCCACTCGTCACGCTGGACACCCGCGTTCAATTCCCTACATGGGTACAATGGGTGAAGCCTATTTCTGGTGTCCACCGTCGTGAAATTGCTGGAATATTGCTATAGCTGCGAAACACGCAAGCACGCACGTGTACCCCACATAATAACGGGTTGGGACTGAGAGAAATCAACACTATGTCAAAAATAGTTCTCTGAACACAACCCAGATAACGTCATACCGGTGTTTGTGTTGTAGATTCTAATCCTGCCTGCTGACCTGTCCAAGATGGAGGATTTGGATAAGATTGTTTCTGAGACGATAAAAAAGTTCGGCCAAATCGACGTTCTGGTAAGCGGGACATTCCACCATAGGACCATCGCACTCATGATAGAACTGGGTTGTATGTAGTTAATATACACGTCGCTCTTCTAGCTGAATTTGTGTAAATTCATACCCAGGCATTGTGGCATCTTTAGCCTACAAGTTTCCAATGATGTTCAAAATTGTTTGTATATCCTGTTTTGTTATTTATCTACATTTTAATGATTAAACTTCTGTAGTTTTCTGAACATATATAATCGATGACATAATAACACGACTTTGCGCAAACATGTCTAGTCTGCAATAAACGATGGTATTGTGATTTATCATCCAAAACTGATATATCAAACGATATCTCTAGAGATACGTTTTGACAAGAGTACAATGCCAATGCTATGACGTCATGTACTTGATGACGTCACAAATGGCATGCACGCAAGTCTAATGGCAGTACCATGTCGAATACAAGAAAATTTAGTGAGGAAGAATCTCACCCTCGTGTCTTCTGATATAAACATATAGTCAAATTAACATATTCTCTATATCTTTAGCGTGAAAAGTTAACTTTACATGTAATATAGTCCTCAAATTAAACAGTTTTAGCGTAATGTATCCTCCAGAATGCAACCTTGAAGATCAAGGTTAGAATTGATCTTCATCCACCCATGCTTGTCGTAAGAGGCGACTAACGGGATCGGGTGGTCAGGTTCGCTGACTTGGTTGACACATGTCATCGTATCCCAATTGCGTAGATCGTAGCACATGCTGTTGATCACTGGATTGTCTGGTCCAGACTCGATTATTTACAGACCGCCGTCATATAGCTGGAATATTGCTGAGTACGGGTTAAACAACAAACCAATAAACCAACTTCAGCATGATATTTGACACGAAGCATATCAATCGTAAAATTAAATGTATTCGATATCAAAGGATACCCTGTGGGCCAAGCATTGCTGACCAGACTGGATACCCAGATGTGACATGCCTGAATCCACCTTAAGCAATTACAGGGTACGAGCGTACATATTCATTGTTTGACCCAGGAGCCTTGTCCAGTCCTGAGCCTTGTACAATATTTAGCTTGACCGTCCACTGCTGACCAGGTCAACAACGCAGCTGCAATGGCCGGTATGACTGGAGTGGGCAAGTACACACCCGAGGCGTACCAGAAGATAATGGACGTCAACCTGAAGGCTCCCATGTTCCTCTCACAGGCAGCTGTGCCGCATCTGAAAAAGACTAAAGGTACAGGTGTAATGGATCTTAGAGGAGGGGCGGTGGGGTAGCCTAGTGGTAGAAGCGTTCGCTCGTTACGCCGAAGATCCGGGTACGATTCCCCACATGGTTGCAATGTTTGAAGCCCATTTCTGGTGTCCCTTGCCATGATAATGCTGGAATATTGATAAAAGTGGCGTAAACCTAAACTCACTCACTAATGGATCAGAGGAACGGCTCTTTAATATCTACTGGGTGGGTGAATGTGTTTGTTAGTGACAGGCACCGTCCAGGTGGGCCATTTTACGTTTAGAGACAGGCACCTACCAGAGACGACAACTTACATTTTCAAACTCCATGACTCGCTCCTGTGAAAAGAAGATTTACGTTTTGAGAAAGAATGATATGACCTTAAAAGCTATTTAGAATCATTAGAAAAAAGCTCTTTAATGACTTCTTTTTGGGTCTCATTGTCTCAACTAGAATAGATTTAAAAGAAACGTCTTAATCTAAACGCAATGCAACGATTCTGCTCTTGGTGCCAAATGAGTATGACTGTTTTAAGTCCCTATAGGCTTGTTTAATTATGGTGAAACAACCTGAGGTAAAATATTTTGTCCCAATGAGTCAAAGGCGTTCGCATTATGTCTATTTATACCCCGACGCGTGTTTAGCGCGAAGCGGGGGATATAGTATAAGGCTCCGTCCGTCCGTCCGTCCGTACGTACGAATTGGAATATCTTAAGAACCGTTGACTAGATTCTTTTCATATTTGGTACCTAGCTTCATCAGAGTATAAGAGAGGTCCCAGTCAGGTTTGGTGACCTTGACCTTAATTCCAAGGTCACAAGGGGACTTTTACCCTTTTCAGCGAGATATCTCAAGAACCCTTCACTAGATTTTCTTCATATTCAAGACCAAGCTTTACTTAGGGAAGGCGCAGGGCCCAGTCGATTTTAGTGACCTTCACATAATGTTCAAGGTCATGGCAACACTTTGAAGATTTCAGCATATTAATCTGCATGTTATGCTTGTCAGCGAGATACCTCAAGAACCATTCACTGGATTTTCTTCATATTTGTCGCCAAGCTTGATCCCGGGATGGTGCAGGACCCAGTCGATTTTGGTGACCTTCACGTAATTTTCAAGGTCACAAAGACACTTTGAAGATTTCACCATGTTAAATTGCATGTTAAGATAGTCAGCAAGATATTGCAAAAACCATTCACTGGATTTTTTTCATATTTGACACCAAGCTTCATCTAATAAAGGCGCAGGGCCCAGTCAATTTTGGTGACCATCACATAATTGTCAAGGTCACTGCGACACTTTGAAGATTTCAGCATGTTAACCTGAATTCACTGGATTTTCTTCATAGACTTTCAAGACTTCCCTTGAATGTTTTTCAATAAGCAATTTCTTTAGCACCATTTTTGCATAGTTCATACACTATGACATTCATGTCAAGGTCAAAGTCAGTCTTGAAAATATTTGTGTGTTTGAACAACTTAAGAGCAAGATATCAAGAGAGGTTGACTGGTCATGTTTTTGTTGACATTTAACTTCATCTTAAACTATCATTACTTTTTAAGTCTGATTTGATAATTTGCGGTGGGGATTATGTCACCTTAGTGACAATGCTTGTTGTTCTTGTTTTATGCCGCACCCAGTAATGTCCTCCTTTATGGAATCACTCTGTATATATTCAACCATACAATCCAGTGATTGACATCATGAGCAACGACTTCCTCATTTTGGATCCGATGGCATGCATCAACCAGCTGTACCTTTGAAGCAAGTAGTGTTTTGTATTTGAAAATGTAAAACAAGATTTAAAATGAAAATATGGAATACTCCAAGGGAAAACCACAGTCTTGCTGTTTTTTTACAGCACTGCATATGAAAATATTTAAATGTATCTATAATCCAAGGGGAAAGTTTTAAACCGTCTAAATTATGTTTCAGGGTCTATTATCAACATTTCGAGCACAGCGGCAACTGAAGCAGTAAGTCTACAACCTATGTTAGCCTGATATACTTAAATCAACTCATATGACAACTGATTATTTCTAGTCTCGACCACTTAATATACTATCCTAAAGAAGAAACGCATAGGCGTTTTGTATTTTTGAAAAATCTATTAATTACCTATTGTGTTCAAACAATCGTCAAAATGTGCAGCGAAAGTGTTGATAATATGATTTTACACAATTGCACAAGTAAAAAATCGACTTTATCTGAAAATGTTTATTTTGATGAGATTTCTTACAAGGTTTAAAAAGGCATCGCCACAACGCAACAAAAATCACCTTCCAGTTGAAATTGAGCAGCAAAGAGCATGCACTGTCTGGCTAAAAACATCCAGATTACTTTCGGAAATCTGCATTCATTTTGAAGGAGTTTCAAGGTCAAATCACTACGCCACGTCTTGACGCTGCCACACGGAACATCGCCATTGAAAGAATGCACGCTGGAGATTACCAATCTTCTGTTGCCAGGCGTCTGAATGTTAGTCTGAGCACGATATGACGGCTCGCAGCTCGTTACAACCAAACAGGTATAACAAATGACCGTCCCCGTACATGCAGACCTCGAGTCACCACTGCAGCCCAAGATCGGTACATCCGGGTACTACATTTGCGTAACCGTACTGCCACGGGTGGGAGCACAACAGCCAGGGTGCCTGGACTTCGGAGGATATCCGGTCAAACTGTACGGAACAGGTTGAGAGAAATTGGACTGAGAGCCAGGAGACCCGACGTCGGGACCGTACTACGTCTTCACCATCGCGTTCAACGTCCCCGTTTTCTAAAATTATCCACTTGGTTGCATAGACATTTCCTTCTTCTAAACTGATGTCAAAATTCATGTACTAAAGTCTATTTGTGGACGAGTTATAATTGTTTGAAAATCTTACAACATTTTCGCAACAGATTTCTGGCCTATGCGTTTCTTTTTTGGGATAGTATATGTGTTACAGTCAGTTTGTGAAATCTGTCATTTCGTGAAATGAGTACACAATTTCAGTCATTTCGTGAAATAACTAAGAGGGTCAGCCACTTCGCTATTGGCTATATAAATTGCTCATTAATATTATTTCCCGTCAGGTGATAACTGCGAGATTGCAATCGTAGTGAGAAGGAAAATTATTTCAAAATACAACGAAACGTTATTGAATTGTGAGAAATCTGTGTTGGCCTGCGATGGGTCTACGGCGCTTGTAAAGAGCCCGTAACTCCATTTCCGTCGGGAGATCTGGGTTAGAATTGATCTTCAGTAACCTATGCTTGTCATACAAGGCGACTAACGGGATCGGGTGGTCAGGCTCGCTGACTGATCGGTGCTCTTGATGGTGATCACTGGATTGTCTGGTCCAGACACAATTATTTACAGACCGCCGCCATATACCTGGACTATTGCTGAGTGCGGCGTAAAACTAAACTCACTCACTCATCATTTCCCCGCGGTTGTCGTGCGGCGGGCGCCGTAGCCTCTACGATTTTGTCAAAACAGCGAGGTTTGACAAATTTGAAAAAATCGTAAGCCCGTAGATGGCATGGCACAGCCACCGCACGGTGATTGTGCGGTAAACGCACGATTTTTAAGTTAAAAAAAATCGTACCCGCATGGCCATCGCATGGGATATCCGCATGGCCATCGCACGGCTCCGTAAGATCATAAGATGTCCGCGCAGTAGCTGCGGAGACCACACGGAAACCGCACGATCTCCGTAGGATTTCTGTGCAGCCTCCATGCAGGTTTGCCTCGACCTGTCCTCAAGGAAATCGCACGATGCCCGTAGACAATGTGAAAACAAACGTCGTAGCCCGCGGTCACCCACGATGCCCACAAAAGCGTACGGTAAATGTTAGACTACAGTAACTTTATCGTACGGCTCCGTACGATGTAAAATGTGATCCAGGTCTTAAGGGTGTTAAGGGTGTTGTCTAAAGTGCATTTGTTTTTCTCCAGACGCCATTCTTCACGATATACTGCGCCAGCAAGGCAGGACTGGACCAGTTCACCAAGTGCCTAGCTCTCGGTAAGTGACCCCTCCCTCTGACCCCTTCTCTGCATTTTTTAGCCGGTTCACACGCGCGCACACACGCACGCACGAACACACACAGCGAATATGTGTCCTATATACGAAAAAGCTTGTAGTAAGACATTGCAATTTTTAACATAAATTGTTTTATGTGTTTCAGAATTGGCTCCATTTGACGTCAGAGTCAACTCAATCAGGTGAGTACTTTTAAAGCTCGAAGTATCCTCGCAGTGTACATAACGGGGATAATCCGGAATATGAAACGTCAATGCCAGAGATTAACCCACCTCAAGTCTCCACCGAAATTTCAATGTTGATAATTAAAGAGATATGCTCATTTGAACCCGCGATCATCGGATTCTGGACACGGTTAAGTCAAACGTGAGTGAGTGAGTGAGTTGGGCTATACGCTGCTTTTAGCAATATCACAGCGGGGGACAGCAGAAATGGACTTCGTACATTGTACTCATGTGGGGAATCGAACCCGGGTCTTCGGCGTTACGAGCGAACGCTTTGACCTTTAGGCTACCCCGGTAGTTTAGATGACTGGGTCATCGTTATCACCGAAGACACCAAGCGATTATTTTCAAAATATATTTTCCAGACCCGGGCTGATCTTGACAGACACGATGACCAGCATCCCGAACATGGCAGAAAAAGTAAGAGTTGTTTTTTACCCCGAGGCACCGAACACAAACCAAAATTTGGTTTGTTGTTCAAAGTCTCGCTCAGGAATATTCCGTCTTTATTGTCATCTCTGTAAATAAGCTGGTCTCGACCAGACAATCCAATGATAGATGGCTAACACTATAAACCCAGCTTCAGTCTGGGTTAGTACAAGCAGCCGCATATACACATACACACGCATGCACGTCGTCATATGAGCGAAATATTCTCAAGCACGACGTTAAACCCTATTCCACCACCACCACCAATGATAGACATCGTGAATATCAATCTACACTATTGGGATGCATCAACAAGTGAGCGAGCCTGACCACCCAATCCCGTTTGTGGCCTCTTACGACAAGCATGTGTTGCTGAAGACCAATTCTAACCCGGATCTTCACTATAAATGAGTTGACAAAATGATACTAGTATCATGAAAAAGAGTATTTTTATTTGGAGATGCTCCTGAAAAAAACCGCACTATGTGGTGGTGATATATCCCATTCAGTTCCGGGTCAGTGTTATGAAGACCAATTCTAACCCGGATTCTTAACTATAAATGAGTTCAAAAGTTGACAAAATGATATCATGAAAAGGAGGGTTTTTTATTTGGAGATTCTCCGAAAAAAACGCACCATGTGGTGGTGATATATCCCATTCAGTTCCGGGTCAGTTTTATGAAGACCAATTCTAAACCGGATTCTTAACTATAAATGAGTTAAAAAGTTGACAAAATGATATCATGAAAAGGAGGTTTTCTTTATTTGGAGATTCTCCGGAAAAAACGCACCATGTGGTGGTGATATATCCCATTCAGTTCCGGGTCAGTTTTATGAAGACCAATTCTAACCCGGATTCTTAACTATAAATGAGTTCAAAAGTTGACAAAATGATCTCATAAGAGGAGGGTTTTTTATTTGGAGATTCTCGAAATGAAAAAAACGCACCATGTGAGTCCGAAAAAACGCACCATGTGGTGGCAACCCATTCAGTTCCGGGTCAGTTTTATGTAACTGGCTTATTTCACGACTTATTTGTTTGACTTTTTAAAACATTGACATGTCTAACGAGAGAGTGAAATGCAACGCATTCTATTGACTCTGTGGAAGTGTTCTTAAATGACTGTATTTGAGAGTTTACTTTATCCCTCATAGTTTTTAAAACGAATTCTGTAAGTTGGAAAAATAAGGAACAGTTATTTCGGCCAACATGCTGCCAGACATTTAAATAGGCTACACACGTTCCCACAAATACGTTCCGGGGAGGTGGGGTAGCCCTGTGGTTAAAGCGTTCGGTCGTCACGCCGAAGACCCGGGTTCGATTCCACACATGAAAGCCCATTTCTGGTGTCCCCCGCCGTGATATTACAGGAATATTGATAAAAGCGGCATAAAACCCAACTCACTCACTCACTCACTAATACGCTTCCATAAATTAATGTTTTGATATTACACGTCTTTCAGATGAAGGAAATGGGAAAGTCTAGTCAGCCACTCCGAGGTGCCGGGGAGGGTGTGGATATTGCCAAAATCGTCAAGTTTCTGGCCAGTGACGACGCTGGCTTCATGACCGGAGAAAGTATGTACGTTGACGGCGGACGCCATCTTATTGGCGCGTCGGCATCTGTGAAGATGGGTTAGGACCATCACGACTATCCATGACTTGACACTGTCTAACTCAGGGCGATCACATTTTCTCTCATTATTTGATTTCTAGCGATCCAGCATCTTAGGCTTTTGTCCTCCCATGCAATGGTTCAAGAATATTGTAGTCCAATAGCAGCAGCAGAAACAACAGCAATAGCAACAACAGCAACATCAGCAACACTATATAATAATAATAATAGTAGTAGTAGTAATAATAATAAGCAGAAGATTAGAAAAGAGAGAAAATTGCACTCGTTTTAAATTGTTTGAGACAGGACGGTAAGATAGATATGGTTATATGTTTTCATTTGGCTTTTTGGGTGTTTCTTATGTCGCTTTTAATGTGCTTGTGAACATAATTTACCCCGACACAAGTCTGCTTTCTCAGATCACCCCATTGTATTCGGATCACCCCAAATGATCATATATCCTGTCATGTTTTCCAGTTGTGGTGATAAGGGCCCTTAAGTCTCGCGAGGCGCTACTTCCGGTAATGGTTTTCCGGTGACATGCATGTATTGAAGAACCGGTTCTGGTTCCAAATTACGCGACCGCAAAATGTGACTTCACTAGACTGGACCAAGTGTACTACCACGCTTGGCTGCACAGCCGTTGACAGATATACACGTGCTCTTCATACACAGTCCAAGTGTTTTTGTAGCCCGTTGCATGTCAACTGTGGTCTGAGTCAGACTGAGCTATTGCCGCACTCTCCTACCCAGAGTTCCATGCGGCCAGCCAGCATAGTACCTCATTCGTCACCACTCGCCCCTTTCCGTAAACTCGCTATTCGGCTTGTCCCGGAATAATACGAGTTGGTCACGAATGCATAGTACCTCTGCCACAGGCCAGAAAGATGTGACGATTCGTCACATCTTGCACCGTCCATTCAATATAATCTACATATTTCTTAACTCTTTTATTTTTGACGAGTCTACACATCTAATTAAACATCTTTGATAGAATGGTTTAGTTTCACTGAGAAAATATCCTAAAACATGTAACACTATTTCGATTTGCGTAGCGATCCTTTGTTTACATAGGTTGTATGGCTCCACGTGCTGTCATCGAAGCCGACGGAGAGCAAACGATGCAGCCAGTTTGATATCTAAATATGTACTGTCATAAACCTTACTGTCGCAGTTGTGGAAGATTATTTATGTAACAATGTAAAACATTATGAAGAGCGCGCCGAAAAGCTTGCGTAAGGCCAGTCTCTTCTTATTATGAATATGCGCGTTTGTTTACAAACAAGAGAAAAGTCCGGTCACGTGATATGCAAATTAGCCTGTGGCAGTGATGTTATGCTAAGTCATCACTGCGCCGGAGTGTGCCATTGCCGTAAAACGTTGTTTGTCACCGGAAGTACTAAAGTCTCGCAAAGTGCCGTGACCTACTTTCGGGCCCTATTCCATTGTTGATACTCGCGGATCATTGTATACATGTATTCTCCTGTATACTTAGCTTTGTGTTTTCTATTTATGAATTTTATCACTCGTTTAGTAATAAAATTATTGTTAACATCCTTTTGTTTGTTGTTGAACGCCTGAACGGTAATTTGTTTGTTGTTTAACGATCAGCAATTTCGAGCTATGGCGGTGGTCAGCGAATAATGGCGTTTAATCGACTTTATGAGAATCGATCTAAGAAACTGAGATACGATGTCATGCATCATCAATAATAATAATAAGATATAAAATTTGTATAGAGCCCTATATGATTTAGGAACTAAAATACTCTTAAGGCGAGCCTATTCACCCGATCCCGTTAGACACGCCTTAAGAAAAGCTTGGGTTGCTCGTGACCAGTTTCATTGATTGATTTACGGTTAACCTGTTCGCAAGTCTCAGAATCAGAATCAGAGTGAATTTACTTTTACGCCGCTTTTAGCAATATCACGTTGTGGGACACGAGGTGTGGGCTTCACACATTGTACCCATGTGGGAAATCGAACCCGGGTCTTCGGCGTGACGAGCGAACGCTTTAACCACTAGGCTACCTCACCGCCCCACAAATATGGACAACAGGTATAAGGTTGAAGATGCCAGTGTGCAAATCAACCCAACTAAAAGCGCTCGTAAAAATCGTAATATCGCCATCATACCAGTATCTTCGCATTCACAAGGTGAGGTGAGGTGAAATTGGGTTTAACGTCGTGCTTGAGAATATTTCGCTCATATGACGACGTGCATGCGTGTGTATGTGTATGTGCGGCTGCTTGTACTAGCCAAGACTGAAGCTGGTTTTATAGTGCTAGCCCACTGAGATACCATTCCGCAGTGAAGCATGAATACCCCACTCAGACACATTATACTGACTCCGAGCCGACCAGTCCTTGTTGTACCCATTAATGCCGAGCGCCAGGCAGGGACCAACAAGTACCATATTTTAACGTCTTTTGGTATGACGCGGTCGGGGAATTCACAAGGAGTGTGTTGCCTGTGATTAAGCGATATTAATTGTTTTATTGCAAACATATCTATGTTCACAGGTATTACTGCTCCCTGTGAGTCCGAATATACTTATGATTCTCACTTTTATCAAAACCGTAACCAAGCAACAACGAATGACCTAATTTTCAGAGTTATGGAGTCCGCGTCAGTGCAGTCAGGTAGTGTATGCGTATGGTTTACGACGCTTTTAGCAACATTCCAGCAATATCACGACATTGGACACCAGAAATGGGTTTCACACAGTGTATTCATGTGGGAAATCGAACCCGGGTCTTCGGCGTGGCGAGTGAACGCTTTAACCACTAGGCCGCCCCACCAAAATCAGAAAAATGATAAGATGTTTCAACACGATTACAGAAATCGATATGTCATTATTGGCAAATAAAGTTCCTCTGTGGCTTGACTGTAAAAATAAATTGTCTTACCTTTGTTATTAACTCGCTCGATAGTATCTTGGTTTGATTGAACTGGTTGTTGTTTGACGTCACACACAGCAATTGTCCAGCAATATGATGGCAGTCTGTAAATAATCGAGTCTGGACCAGACACACCAGTGATCAACATCATGAGCATCGAAAGTAGCTTGGAGAAATCACTTTAAAAAGAACACTTTGGATCTTTTTTTATTTTTTATCTCCGAACATGTGTTTGAGAAAACAGGGATTACCTATGTAGAGTGTCTCCTTTCAAATTGATTAGATTATTCCTTAAAGATACGAGTTGATCGATACCAGTCAGAGTACCTAGAAGAAAACTATCCAGAGTTCCGTTGTACAATATGATCTTAGGGCTATGTTGGTCGTAACTCACATATCTCAACACGGACTTACGACTGCCGTTGCGAAGGTGGTCGTAACTCACATACCTTAACAGACCTAGGACAGTCTTAGCACTAAGGTGGTCGTAACTCACATATCTTATCAGACATATGACAGACGTAGCGCTAAGGTGGTCGTAACTCACATACCTCAACACAGACTTACGACAGTCGTAGCGCTAAGGTGGTCGTAACTCACATACCTCAACACAGACTTACGACAGACGTAGCGCTAAGGTGGTCGTAACTCACATACCTCAACACAGACTACGACAATCGTAGCGCTAAGGTGGTCGTAACTCACATATCTCAACACAGACTTACGACAGTCGTAGCGCTAAGGTGGTCGTAGCTCACAAACCTTACCACAGACTTACCACGTACTTCTAAGGTGGTCGTAACTCGCATACCTTAACATATGTTTACGACAGTCGTAGCGCTAAGGTTGTTTTGTATAACGGCACCGTGATATCCAGAGTTTATGCATATACTGACGCTGTGATGAATCCAGGGACTGGCTAAAACCCGGGCCAAAAAGCTGGGGTAATACTAAAAATGGATTGCAGAATATTAAACCGAAACCTGCGCAACAAGATAGATTGTCTTTCGGCGTTCACAAATGTATACTTTTCCCAATGTTTATATAAACATCTATATTTAACAATGAAATAAAAAGAAACCTATGACAACATACCGAGTGTCCCGTAGACGCTATATGTTTTCTTTTATTTGTCTGTGTGAGAAGGTTACTTGCTTCCCTCAGCTTATGACGTGTGGCGTCCTGAACAGGAAGTGTCAACATTTTGATTTCTTTCTTTAATTAACCTATTTGGGGTCCCTGATTAACTCTTTTTGGTTCATGCTGAAGCAGCAAAGGACGTTTAGTTTAACTGGAAGTGGATATTGGCGAATTGACATGTCATGTTTAACTCTAGGTTAAGCTCTTACAGCACTGTTAATGTTACTAGAACACAATAAAAAGCACTATATTTTTATAGAAACATCTGTTACGATGACGAGTTTCACCATAACACTCACGAGCCTGAGTGTATGCTCTTAAAGTATGTTCTTGAACATTATTCCGATCAAGTGAGCGAGTGAGTTTGGTTTTACGCCGCTTTTTAGCAATAATATTACAGCATTAATACGGCGGGAAATGGGCTTCACACATTGTACCCATGTGGGGAATCGATCCCGTGTCTTCAGCTTGACGAGCGAACGCTTTAACCACTCGGTTACCCCATCGCCACATTGTACATGCTTCACTTAATGTATTGATTGAACAATTTATGTCTTATACTGTAAAATGTCACAAAAACGTTCTCCTAACAATATGCCCATGAAAGTGTCCTCAGCCGTAAAACCGGTACCGTGAAATCGGTATACGTTGGTACATAGAGAATACTACACGAGGTCTCATTACATACGAAACGAGTGTCCTTCCTATGGTATCTGACCGAGCGACGAGTTTCGTATAATTCGTATGTGATGAGACCGAGTGTGGTATTTTATTTATTACCCACGTCTTACATGCATTAAATTGACAAAATAGCGTAGTTTTATTATTGTTATGGTTTCAAACCGAAACCAGTTTCATAAAGAGGTTGCGGAAGAATTTTGTACTGTTGTACACTTTTTGCATGACGTCACACTGTAATGACGTCACAACGCCTTGCTCGCGTGCTCCCTTGGTAACCGACGTCACGATGCATCAGTTGTCACCACCTCGTACAGCCTGTACATAGAGAATACTACACGAGGTCTCATTACATACGAATTATACGAAACGAGTGTCCTTCCTATGGTATCTGACCGAGCGAAAGCGAGGTCAGATAACATAGGAAGGTCACGAGTTTCGTATAATTCGTATGTAATGAGACCGAGTGTGGTATTTTATTTATTACCCACGTCTTACATGCATTTAAATTGACAAAATAGCGTATTTTTGTTATGTTTTTGGTTTCAAACCGAAACCGGTTTCATAAAGAGGTTGCGGCAGAGTTTTGTACTGTAGTACAATATTTGCATGACGTCACACTAATGACGTCACTGCCATGGTAACCGACGTCACGATGCATGTCAGTTGTCATCGCCTCGTACAGCCTCCTACAGTAAACTACTCCGTTGCACCTCGTTTCTTGGTTTCCAGTTGCTTCATTCGGCTAACATCACTGGTGGAAACATTGCGTTTATATTTTTCGACAGATATAATGTCTCAGTTCGACTCACAATTAAACAGCGACACGGCAACGTTCGCAATGTTTACATTCCCACAATGCATTTAAGTTGTAGAATGAATGAATTCACGTGTTTGTTCACTCCTCCTACCCAGAGTTCCATGCGGCAAGCCAGCGCATAGTACCTCTGCCACAGTCCAGAAAAATGTGACGATTCTTCACATCTTGCAATTTCCATTCAATATAATGTACAGATTTCTTTTACTCTTTTATTTTTTGATCTAACTAAACATCTTTAATAGAATGGTTTAGTTTCACTGAGAAAATATCCTAAAACATGTAACACTATTTCGATTTGCGTAGCGATCC